TTCGTTTCCGGGTTCTGTTGTTTTCGCGGTTTTCGTTTTCGGGTTGTCCGTTTTCTTCTTTTTTCTTCATCTTTTTCGTCAACTTCTTCCTTTCCTTGACTTATCGTCCGCCTTGCGTAATTGGTTGAAAGCGAGCGGGTTGGAGGGGTGGGGGTGGGGGATGCAGCTCGTTTTCCCTTTTGGTGTCTGTTTAATCATTGGGAAAGTCTGTCTGTCGGCTGCGTCAGCGTCTTGACCCTTCAGAGGAGCCGGAAAGGAGGCGGAACTGTGAGTCACAAGTTGTGGGTAGAGAGAGTGAGTGAATCATGTCAGTCCAGTCAGTGAGAGAATATGTTAACCTATTCATTTCCAAGCCTCCTCCCCCTCCCTCCCTCTCTTTTTTTCCTCAGTCTTCCTCCCCACATCCTCTTCCTCCTCCTCCCTCCTCCCTTCTACTCGTTTTTTCCTTTTCTATTCCCTTCCTCTTTTTCCGTATTTTCCACTCTCCCCCCCCCCCCCGTCCTTCTCTTCTACAAAAGCTTTTCCTACCCCTTTCACCTAATCCTGATAATTGACAGTCCCCCCCCCCCTTTCTTTTCTTCCCCCACCTGATCATCCTCATCCTCACGCCCCCCTCATTCCTTCCTCACAGCCCCCCCCCCCCTGTTTCCCTCCTGTTGCTCTTGTTCCGTCTGCCTTCCCACGGGGGGCGCGCACGGGGAAACCAGGCTGTTTGCGCCGCCAACCTTGAGTCGACCCGCCAAATATAATACGAGTCGCTCCAGTTGACAGTGTGGGTGGGAGGTTGAGTGGAGTGTGTGTGGGGGGGGAGGTGTTATTTATCTGCTCTTTTTTTTTTCGTTATTAACTTTTCCCAAAAACTTCCCGTCCTCCATTTTTCTTTCCTTTCGTTCTCTCTTGTTTTTGTTGTTGTTTTTATTATAAGCATCTACCTAATCCTCCTACTCCTACTACTCCCACTACTCCCCCTCTCACCTTTTCCTCTTCCCTCTCTCCCCCCCTCTCCCCTCCCCCTCCCCCTCTCCCCCTACTCCCGCCGAGACCAGCGCGTGCAAGGGTGCTGGCGCTGGCACTCGCCGAAGTCTCGTTGTTCGCAGCAAAGCGTTTGTGTTTGTTTATGCTTTTGTTGTTCTCGTTGGTTGGATTTTGAGGCTGTGGATGTTGGCCGTTTTGCTGCTAGTAGTATTAATAGTAGTAGTAGTGTTATTATATTTAATGTTATGGTTATTTTCAGAATGCTTACTGTGTATATTTTAAACGCGCGCGCACACTTGTATGTGTGAACGTGCCATTTTTTGCCTCGCCGTTGCCGGTTTAAGATTGATCACTTTATCGTCGCTTCGTTGGCGGCCGAAAGGGAAGCCTTTGACGGTAATAAATTTAATCGAAATGATCCGTCACGGCGCAATTCGCCGCTTTCACGATTTGGTCGAGTGAGCGGGGCACGCGGATCCGGCGAAGGCGCTGTCGGCGTGGAACGGCTGCCGATCACGGCCGCAGACGGAGGCTTTCTCGTTTTCGCGCGCACGCAGGCACACGCAAGCAGACGCGCGTGAACGCATGCTTTTGATGGTTGGAACTGCGGGTTTTCGCTCACCATTCTTGGTAATATTTTGTATTTTGATTGTTAACATGATTGTTTATGATAGCACAAGTGTCACCATACGTCTCGCACTTTCACGTATGTTTGTTTATTAGATAGATAAAAATACCGTCGTTATTGTTCTTATGGTGTTATTGCAGTCGTTGGCGCCCATTGCCTGTCTTAGGGCGCTTCCAACTGCAGAGGATTCCTCGGAGGCTTTTTTTCCTCTCTTCAGATAAGACAGATCGTTTTAAGCTTGAAAGTTCTCTATTTTTGCCACGTCTGCCCATCACGGGGCGGAGGCCGGAGGTTGACGGGAGCTCGCGAGGTTCTAGCAGGTTCTCCCACGCTCTCCCCGCTCACGTGTCGCCGCTCCTCTCCTCCTCTCCTCCTCCTCTCCTCCTCCTCCTCACCCTCTCCTCCTCCTCCTCCCTCCCTCCCACCCTCTGCCTCCTCCCTCCTCCTCCCTCATCACCCTCTTCCCCCCTTCTCTCCTCCTCCCTCCCTCCCTTTTCTTCCCTCCTTTTCTTTCTCCTCCTCTCCCCTCCCTCTCACCCTTCCTTCCCTCCCTCTCCCTCTCCCCCTCCTGTCTCCCTTCTCTTCTTTCTCCTCTCCGGGTTCTCGTATCTCCCTTCTTTTTGTGTTGTTTTTCTTCACCTTCGTTGTCTTTGCTCGTGTTTCATGTACTGCTACTACCGCTGTTTTTCCTGTATGTATTTTCGTTCGCGTCTCTCTCTCTCTCTCTCTCGTCCCTCTCCCCTCTCCCCCTTCTCTCTCTCTCTCTCTCTCTCTCTCTCTCTCTCTCTCTCTCTCTCTCTCTCTCTCTCTCTCTCTCTCTCTCTCTCTCTCTCTCTCTCTCTCTCTCTCTTCCCTCTCTCTCTCTCTCCCCCTTTGTTGTTATTCCCCGGGTTTTGCTCCAGGGTACCATCTCTCCCTTTTTTCCCATTCTCTCATTCGTTTTGATCGATTTTCCTTTTGCTTTCGCTCTCACCCAATTGTATTTTTTCCCCGGTCTGAATTAAGCCCCGGAGAGGTTCATCATGGGCACGTGGCGGTGAACAAGGTCGCGGGGGGTAGCGGCCCTGAGGGAGAGGGAGGGCGGGCGGGCGACACTGCCACACGGGGATGGGCGGAGGCCGAATTCGCAAGGGTTTCTCTGTGTTTCGGGCGTGGGGGTGAAGGGGGGGGGATGGAGGGAAAGGGTGTGGGGGGGTGTATAGATAGGAGATGGGTTACTTCGTGTGGGAGTGGGAGTAGGAGAGGGAGAAGGAAAAAGAGTAGTAGAGGGAAAGGGAGAGCGGGAAGGAAATGAAGTGGAGAGAGAGAGAGAGAGAGAGAGAGAGAGAGAGAGAGAGAGAGAGAGAGAGAGAGAGGAGAGGGGGGGGGGGTGAAAGTATTAATGTGTGAGGAAATGCTGCTCTCTTGAATATTTACGGACGATCAATTTTCCGTTTTTCCTCGCCTTTCCCCAGGGGAGCAGTTTGCCTTCAGTAAACTTTTCCCTCGCCTCACAGCCCTCCTTTTACCAACCCTCTAATGCAACCGCGGCGTGGGCGGCGAGGGCGGTAAATGTTTCTTGACTTTGCATAATGGGCGTGGTTGCTTCCAATTATTGAAAGCTTTCTGGTGTTTTTTATCGTTTGTTATTAATCTTGCGTAATTGACCGTTGAAACAAAGACTGGCAAGGATGAATATATTCGAGTGTGAGCGTGTGACAGATTGTGGGCGCGGAGGAGGACGAGCGATGGCTAGGGAGCGCGCGGTGGGCGTGGGCGCGAGTGCGAGCGGGGCTGGCTGGCGAGGCGGCTCAGTGTGCACCGCGGCGCCACCATGATCGCTTGAAGGATCGGCCCTCTTTAGTCCGCAGCGAAGACCGTGTGCGTCGGAGCCGCGCCCCAGTCGTCGTGCCAGAGGCCTGTGAACGGACATCATGTGCGTACCGCCTGCAGAGGCCGTGCCTCGCCGTGCTTGACGTGTGGGGAGTGACGTGTGTGAATGCGTGCTCGGGGGCGCCATGGTCTGGGTGCTGCACGGCGCGAGGGAAGGGAAGGACCTTGGTGAGCAGCGGCTGTGGGCGTCGTGGGTGCCCGCTGCTGCCTTCGAGGCCGGCCAGTGGGTGGCGGCGCCCTTCTCCTGGCCACAAGGGCCCTGCCCTCAGCCCCGCCAAGGGCACCACGCCCGCGGCCAGTATGGGCGCCGCGAAAGCATGTCCACTTTCGACAGCAGGACAGTGTTCGAGGAGATAGCCAGGCTCCACGGCGGGGAGCTCGCAGGAAACCCCCACGTCCGCAGGAAGCCCTGGCGGCCGAATGGTGCCCTGCCCGTGACGGACCTCGCGTTCAGGGAAAAAGAGGCGCCCTCATGGCCTCCGCGCCAGGGCCTTCGAGGAGGGCCGCCTGTCATATGCCAGGGGCGTGAAGACGAGTGTCACGAGGAACGAAAGGACAGGCCAGGGTGGCGCTGGTCCGAGGTATGGTGCCGCGCGTGGCCTCCCCCGTGGGGTGTCAAGGACCTGGGCTGTGTTTCGGGCTGGGCGGACGTGCTGCGGGCGCCTTCCCTGCCCGCCTTCAGTGCAGCCACAGTGACGCAACGCCTCCGCAGCTTTGACTTGCGGGATTTCTTTGGGCATTTATCCTGTTCTGCGGAAAGGAAAGATCTGGAGTGTGAGGGCGCGCCGGGCGGTGGTGCCCCGAGTGATGCCGCCGGGGCCGGGGATGGGGGCGTGTTGTGGTGGGCCAGCGGGTGCCTGTGTGGGAGGGGGGGCGGCAGTCAGAGCCCGGAAGCCTCCGCGAGCCATGCACGAAGCTCGGCGCGACCGACGTCCGGCTCCCCGCGCATGGGACTGCATGACCTCCTCGACCCAGCATCCCTCCTTTCCAAAATACCCAGACCCGGACGACTCCTTGACCTAGACTATCGCGACCTATTGACCTACCTGCCGGTACTCACGATAAAAGGACGACTCAAAACCCTAAGGATGTACATGACCGACAAAATCTTTAGGTAAATATGACAAGTTGACTTGACACACAAAGACGCCTCTCTGCGACGGACCGCTCGCGGCTCGCTTCCGGTGACCACGAGTGACACTCGGGGGACACGAAAGCTCCAACATGTTCACTTTTGTTTTAAGCATGTTTTTTTTTTTTTTTTTTATTTTACGCCCCACCTTCCCTTTTTGCAGAGTGGTTTATCTGAGACAAAAAAAAATAAATGCCACACCTTTAAAACAAGTTTCGGATGGTCAAAACTAACGGGGGTTATCCCATGTATGTCTGTCTTTGCATACACGCCACTCAAAGCCACGTGTTGTCAACATCGGCTTGAATTGATTGTTCTCTTTCATGTCTTCATTGCAAACAAAATCTGTCTGGACGAGGGAGCGCCACCTAACGGATGTCTTTGTTGTCTCAGGTTGGCAGAGCGAAGAAAGGACGAGGGCAATGAGCAGTACAAGGCCAAGGAGTACCGCGAGGCCCTCAAGCTCTACACTCAAGCTATTGGTGAGTACCAGGGATTTTTTTCTTTTAACTCTTTAGCTGTATTCTGTGCGGTTTGGTGTTCTCACTCGTGTTGGTCTCTCTCTCTCTCTCTCTCTCTCTCTCTCTCTCTCTCTCTCTCTCTCTCTCTCTCTCTCTCTCTCTCTCTCTCTCTCTCTCTCTCTCTCTCTCTCTCTCTCTCTCTCTCTCTGCTGTTTCATTTTCCTTCTCTCTCTTTTCTCCTCTCTCCTCTCTCTGTCTCCTGGTCTCTATCTCCTCCCCTCTCGTCTCCGCTCCATATCCTCGCCTCTTTCTCCTCTCCTCCTCGCTTCTCTCCCCTCTCCTCGCCTCTCTCTCCTCTCTTCTCTTCTCCTCTCCTCTCCTCTCTTCTATTCTCCTCTCCGTTTCCCTCACCCATCATCCCTCACTCCCGTTGCTCTTTTTTCTCTTCTGCCATCCAATTCTCCTTTCCTTTACCATTCTGCCTGGTGATTTAACGCCTTTTATCGCTATTTTTTTGGATGTTCGTTTTTCTCTCCTGTTATAAACAAGCTGCGTCCTCGTTAGCCTCTATTTATAGCCATCATTTTTTTGCATTTGTGTGTGGTTGGGGGGGGGAGTGAATAGAGTAGAGAGAGAGAGAGAGAGAGAGAGAGAGAGAGAGAGAGAGAGAGAGAGAGAGAGAGAGAGAGAGAGAGAAGAGAGAGAGAGAGAGAGAGAGAGAGAGAGAGAGAGAAAGTAGGAAGAAAGGAAGGAAGGGGGCCAAGCGAAGGGGAAGCCTCGCCCTCCTCCCCCCCTCCTCCGCCCATGAGAAGTCGGCCGGCCGCGACGGGAGCGTCATCGGCCGGAAGAAATTCCATTCATTGTGTCTTCTCCGATTCACTTCCACTTCGAGCGCGGGGCGTCCGTCTGCAAGCACGTCCGAACAGTTTTTTTTCCGAAGCTTCTGTTCTTGGCTTTGGTTTGTTCATTCCGTCTCCTCCTGAGTCCTCATGATGAGTCTGTATTCAACCATTTGTTGGTTCTCCTCTCCTGCGCCTCTCTACCTCTTCTACTTCCTTATTCCCTTCCTCTTCCTCTCCTCTACCTCTCTCTACCTCCTCTAACCTCCACTACCTTTTTACCCTTCTTCCTCCGCCCCTCCTTTCTCCTTAACCCCCTCCTCCGCCCCCCCCCATAGAACCCCTACGCGCGCGGCCGGTGGAAAGTATGAAGGTTACCCGGTCAGGCGGATGTCTTCCAGCCCTCGCCAAGGTCTCGCGTCGGGGAAATAGCTGTCGAGCGTAATGTGAAAAGGATTACGGGTCTGGCTTGTACGTGTTCGTCTCTCTCTATATATATCTCTCTGTACGTCGGGTTCGTTGTTTGTTGTTGTTTTTTTATTTTTTTTTTCTTTTTTTTTTGTTTTCAGTGTCTCTACGTCGTTTTTTTTTTTTTTTCTCCTTTTTTTTTTTTTTTGTTTTTTTTGTTCTTTAGTTTCTCTTTACATAGGTTTTTTTTTTTCTATCTTTTCTTTATTTTTTTTTGTTTTATTTTGTGTTTTTCTCACTTTTCTTTGTTTTTTCTCTATTTTTTTTTCTTTATTCTCTTTTCGTTTTATTTTGTTTAGCTCGTGTTATCCGTTGCGTTGTATTACCGTCACCGCTAACACCCACACGGGCGCACGTCGGAGATCGCGAGCAAATGGATTTTGTTTATGGCGAGTTTGGAAGTTACTCGAACTAGACAAAACAAACCCTAATCGTTAAGTGCTTTTCCGTTGTAAAAAAGAGAAGATTTACGGAAGTCCATGCGAAAACCGCCATTTTAACGGGGCACAATAAGACTCATTTTCGAGTGATAGGGGCCGCTCCCCGAGGCTCTCGTTGGTGGCATCTTCGCTAAGTAACTGGGACACTCCGGGGGCCGAAATTGCGCCGAAGGGCCCCTCACTCGGCTTTACGATCGGTTCCTGTAATCGCGTTAAGGTTGAGGATTAAAGTGTTCGGGAAAGCTTCATAGGGAAATTTCAGTCTTTCATGTTGGGGAAATTTCATAGTCTTTAATGTTCGGGAACTTTCATAGTCTAATGTTTTGGAAACTTCGTCGTGTTTTAATGTTTGGGGGGAATTTTTAAGCGTTTAAGGCGGCATTGTGAGGACGCTGCTTCGTTATAGATGTAAATCCGAATGTGTGAATGGAAGTGCGCCACGGTCTCGTTGTAGATGTAATCAAATTGAAACGGCAGAAATGTGTGTCGGCCGACCTTCCATCCTGATCTACGTTCGAGTTAGCAACATTGTGTGTGCCTCCGCTTCGTTTTGAAGAATCTTGATAGGGGAGACTATGGAGGAAATCTTTTCTTTCTAGTCTACGTGATCCTTTTGTCTCTCCCTCTCGTTGTCTTTTCACTCATTATTCTCACCAGTGTAATTGGGAAGAGTAGCACTTTTTTCCTCTCACTTGCACCGTAGTTGATTTCTTTCCTGAAAACAAGTCCGTAGCTGCGTCAGACCCAAAAGATTCGGCGGTCTTGCGGCAGAGTTCGTACGTAATATCTGCAGTGCTGTCGGCGGCGCTGCGATGACGTATCATGTCGCCGCGGGCGGTTTGTGGCCGGACGGGCTCTCGTTAGTGTGTGTGTGGGGGGGGGTAGCGCGGGGGGAAAATAGAGCTCTAACCAGAGGTCTGGATATGCAACTTTAAGTCTTGCTACACCCAGGGTTATTGTTTTGATGTGCGTATGTCTTGTACATGTATTTTGTTATTACTGATGACGGATCCTCATCAGGAGCAGCGCTAAGTATTACCGTGACAAGCGCCATCGCCGCCAGCCCGGGCGGTTCCCATGATTGCCAATAGGCGGTGCTATCTTGGGAAACACTAGTCAGCAAGATGTTTATGTTAGGAGCGCACTTAAATACTCACTGGCACTAAGGGGCACTCACTCCCCACCCCCTCTCTCCCCCGCCATTCGCCGCCGCCGACGCACAAGGTGATCGATGTAAAACCTCTTTTTTCACGATTGTTTGGTGTCCCAAGGAAATCGGGTCCGGGGCGTCGGCACTCGAGTGTTTACCTACAGTGACTCTCTCTCCTCTCTCTCTCTCTCTCTCTCTCTCTCTCTCTCTCTCTCTCTCTCTCTCTCTCTCTCTCTCTCTCTCTCTCTCTCTCTCTCTCTCTCTCTCTCTCTCTCTCTCTCTCTCTCTCTCTCTCTCTCTCTCTCTCTCTCTCTCTCTCTCTCTCTCTCTCTCTCTCTCTCTCTCTCTCTCTCTCTCATTCACTCATTCACTCATTCACTCACTCACTCACTCACTTATTGTGGATGTTGTTGCTATCAGTAGATAGTGTCGTTGTCATATTATGATGATGATGTTTTAGCATAGCTATTTTTTCTATGTTACTGTCGTAGGGATTATTGTAGTCGTGTTAATACTTCGTTACAGTCGCTGCCCCCTTTGTAAACAGTAGTATTATTGTTTGTCGTTTGAATGGGTTTAAGATATGAGGTCTGTGTTCGAATGCCTGGATTTTTACTTTATTATCTAACCTTGTATAAAAAAACGGGAACTTTGAATCATTTGACGCTGCAGTTGCTTGATACCGTTGGTTTGTTGTTTTTTGTTGTTCTTTTTTTACATCTTTGTCAGCCATTTGGTAACGAATGACTAAGTAGTGTTTTGTGCTCGTCAGATTGGATTTTATGTGAGATCTTAAAATATTTTCTCAGATGAATTGCTCTCTGGAACGTAGTTTTATGTTTGCTTGTTTTTTTTTTGTGCAGCTTCGGCCTGTCTTCCTCTTCCCCTCCCCCTTTTTGCATTCGATCTAGATAGGGAAGTCTGGCACAGGCCTGGCCGACATATTTTCGAAATCAGGTGGTATTTGTTGTCTCTACTCTGCCTATTGTCTTTTTTTCTTATTCATATTCTTGTTCGAAATCAAGTGGTCTGGGTTGTTTTTCGCCAGACATAGAGGACCTTCATAACTATTCATCGGCTACCCATTTCTTTATTTTCGTCGTGTTTGTCCCAGGGGTCGGAGGGGCTAATGAGATACTGGTCTTAATGAAGATTTCTTTTTTTCGTGTGTGTGTGTGTGTGTTTGTGTGTGTAGAGTGAGAGTATGAGAGTCCCTAATTAGCCGGTCTTTAAGTGTGGCTATCATTTATAAGGTGTGGTTCTTGTTCTCGGGAAATATTAATTTTATTCCAAGATTCAAGGAACGGGCGATGCAAGCCTGGTGTGAGTTGTCGGGGAACCTGTCGACGCCCACACCTCGCCCACGGTTTCGTGTTCTAGGTTTGTGTTTCTCTCTCTCTCCTCCTCCTCCTCCTCCTCCTCCTCCTCCTCCTCCTCCTTCTCTCCTCTCCTCTCCTCTCCCCCTATCCCCTGCCGACCCCTCCCTCCCCCTGCCCCTTTTCCCCCTCCCAACCCCCCCCTACCCGTATCCCCCTCCCCCCCTTCCCCTATCCCCTATCCATCTATCCATCTACCGTTACCCTCCGAAGCCCGTCCTGACGCGCGGCTCCCTGACTTGCGTTGTGCGCGTCCACGAAGGCCGGCGGAGGACTACCGGGGCGCGTCGCCCGGGCAGCCCGACGCCCCCTCGCCCAGCGCCTTCGCCTCCGCGGGGCATCGGAGCCAGTGCGTGCCGCTGATTCGCCGTAATCGCTGCCTGTCATGCCGCGCAAGGTAGAGGGAGGGATAAGTGCGGGGGGAGGGGGTGTCCTGTCAGTGCTTGGATCGGCCGTCAGTCCCTGGCGGGCACTTGATGGGGAGGGACGCGTGGGTCTTCATCAGCTGATTGGTTGATGGGGGAGGTGAATGGGGATGGTTGGGGGGGGGGGGAGGTAAATGGGCGGACAGGGAGGTTGTTAGGAAATTGCGGTGCCTTACTGCCCTCGGGATGGGCGTCGGCGAGGAGCGAAGGGCCCAATCGTAGTCTGTGATTGGACCGAAGGTGACGTCAGAGCTAAGAGCTAATCCGGTGGTAATTTACGAGTGGGATTCGATGTCACAGCAGGTAATGGGGCGGGGGGAGGG